GGAGAAAGAAAAATGTTTCATTTTCCAAACTTATAGTCAACCTTGTGGTTGTTGGTCTTGGATTTGATTTGGAGGGTCATTGAAGCATGCACATCAACTCCTTATTCTTTGTATTAATTATTTGATAACTAAGAAGTGATATATATCCAATATTTCATTTAATATATTTCAATAATATCCAGTAATATCTTGAAACAGCTGACCTGTCACTAACCAATCAATTGATCGGCTAATCAACTGCCAGATTTCTTGTCTTAACATTTCCTGAAATACATACTCTTTTTTTCCCCATCTGGTGTACTCCAATGTTCTGACACTTTAGTTCCCAAAATTCCCACTCCACATGGTTGTTGGATATGTTGGCTGGGGCTTTAAGGAGTTGTAGATTTGATGTATCTAAAGGGCACTACATTTCTAGTACTGTATTTTATTTAAGGAGAGTAAGGAACCATTACAGAAAAGAAAGAAAGGATGGTCATACTCAGTGATGAAGAACATGGTTTGTGGGCTTAGAATCCCAAATTCAGTCTTGGATCCCTAGACAGAACCGGTGAACCTTCTTTCTGACAAGGTTGACAGTTCTGAACTAAATTTATTAACTCTCTGATTCTGAGTAAGGCAACTCCTAATAATTCCTCTTAACCTGCTCAGATTTCCATGCTATTTGTGGTATGGTACAATTGCCACATATTCACTCAAGATTGTCCAGTATATCCAGTGCTACTCTCTCCTTAATACACCTGTTTAGAATATTGCCTGATTGACTTAATTAATAATACACTAGCCATTTGTTATCAAAGTTTGATTCAAAGCTAACCTTGGCAGTATATAACCACCCAAGTAAAATCAGTTAGCAAAATGTGTTTTTCAATTATTGAACTAACAGCAATAGTCAATCATAACAAGTTATGCTGCTTATGTAGCTCCAAATATTCCAATTTCAAGAAAAACAATTAAGGCAAGTTTTTTTACTATTTAAATACCAAACACTTTTTAAAAATGATTTACTACAACGGAGGCCAATATTTTATAACACACATGGTTATTAAAGGAAGAGGCAAAAAAGATGGGATCTTCTCACACTTTTCTGACTTAACTCCATATCATTTGTTCATAGGTTTATGAAAGTATAATCCAAACCAGGCATGGGCAACTATGGTGCTTTTATGATCTCTGGACTTTCAACTCCCAGAATTCCTGATCCAATTGCCCAGCCCTGATCTAAGTAGACTATCTATATGTCAAAATGGAAATAATCCTGGCATCCTCCAGATGTTTTAGGATTAAAATGACCATGCTGATATGGCTGCATTGTGGGAGGTTCACTCTCTTTACACCCAGAGAATGATAAGTTTGAGAGGCTGACATAGCTAATTGCCTCGGGCATAGTGGGGGTCCATATAAATATATATATTGCCTTGGAAGCATTGAAGACAGGTATAGGACAAACAAACATCACTTGTAGCAGCTTTTTGCACTTTATTCACATGTTCATTTGCACATTCAAAGACTTCCCCAATGTCTACGTGCTGCTATTGTAGTAAACTTTCAGTACCAGAAGAGGTCACACAAAGACAATTCTGGAGCAAAAAGCACTATTTATCAGATAACCAGATTTTTGAGGACAAAAGTGCTCTACTTTTACTATATGGAAGATCAATAGGTGAAGTTTTCCCTATTATTCTATCTCCCTCTTAAGAAAAATCCTTCCTTTGTTCACAGTTTGACTCTTGTTCTACTGTGATGGCCTATTGTTCTTACTACAAAACAAGGAGAAACACTGCTTCCATTAATCAAATAACAGAGTGAGAAATCTAGATTATATATTCTTAGTATTAATAATAGTGACAAAAAATAGTTCATGAAAAAAGAAGACTTCTTTAACAACTGCTTTCAAAGTGACTTCATATCTAATGTATCATAACTATTATATTTATTAGAACAACTATTACAGCTGTCGTTGCTGTTATACTCTTTCTAATCACAACTGTCCTGTAAGCTGCTGTAAGTGCCATATTGCAGATCGGTATGCTCAGAAAATAGTGCCTCATCAAAGGCAGCTGAAGAATTCATGAGACATGCAAGATTTGAATTCAGCTCATCTCTCAGCAAAAACACTGCACTCATTCTAAATTTTAATAAGGATGACCAAGATAACTTTTCAAGAATGCTGCCCTCTTACCTTTGCATTTTTCATCCTGAAGGTCCCTCTGGAGACTGCAATAAGTTTCCGGCAATGGTTTTACTTGTTTGAATGGCAGCTTCTATTCATCTCATTGGGCAATGCAACTCAGCCAACAGCCTGTCTTTCTCCTCTTCTTATTCTTTCAACTTGCTGCTGTTCTGCAGCCTCTGACTTGAAAGGGGTGGGGTTCCTTGAAAAATATGTGAAGCTCCTATCCAATAACACTTTGGCAGGCAAACTTCCTGTAATTGTGATCTTTAAGTTTGTGTCTGTGTGTGCATACACATATATTGAACACCTTTATGTATAGAAGCATACCTGATCTTGTTTTACCAGAGTTATCAAGGTCAGTGAGGCATTTGTCAAGAGGCTAATTTTACAGTTACTTTATTAGTCCAATTTTCTTTGTTGATATAACACACTGCATCATCCAGCCATATTGGCTGGCTTCACTGAACCCCCTGAGCCACGAATGAACCAACTACATTTCAGTCTAGCATGTTATCCAAACCGGCTGAAGTTTGTGAAGCTTGTTCTATAGAATCGGATTAAATTGCCAAAGAAGCTGACAATCCAAAAACCTTCTGCCTATTATTTTTTAATCCAGCAAGGTTCATATTATGTTTCTCTAGAGAAAAATGAACTATCATTGGCCTAAGTCAGAAAGAAGATTCTTAAAAAAAAAAAAAAAAAAAACACTGAAGAACAACCAGATATATTATCATAGTCATAGAAGCCTAGTGGTAAAAAAAACCTGCCATTATAATACCTAAGTCCAATTATATAACATTGTTCCTTAATGTGTATTTCATTGATTGTTGTTTTTGGGGGGGAGGGTCCAGTATTATAACTCCCTTTTGCAAGAGTGATGACTATTCAGAATCTAGAAAAATTAAGGTTTTGCATAGATACAGTGATATTTTCTGTTCCATGTTAGACATAAATATGGGACACCCACTAGGGCAATATCTTTAAAAGATCAGCTGCAGTTACGTAAAATACATGCAACCTTTAAGTTCTGTTAATTTGCCAAACACAATAAACAGACAGTAGCTAAGCACATTTTAGACTCATGTTATTATGCACACCCAGTTACTTTATTTTGTATGTTGCATAAATGCATACAATGGGCTTCATTGCATAAACCAACTGGTGGTCCACAAGAGGACTGCAAGTGATCCTTGGTGCAAGATGCATTTTTAAGATTCAGACAGCAGCGTGGCTAGCTGGGGAATTCTAGAAGTTGAAGTCTGCATATCTTAAAGTTGCCAAATTTGAGAAACACTGGTCTATAGAAAGGAAAAATTAGAAGTATTAACATAATTTTTAATGTAATCATAGAAGGGCATATCATGAAAACAAAGGCAAGATGGTAAAATGATAGGTAAGATGGCTAAATGAGGTGGGGAAATGTGGCTGATCTTTAAGCCTCTATCAGGATATATTCTTCGGTGGAATATGAAGATGCTTCACTATTTGTAGGGAATATATTTTCATGATGTGACCTCCATTGACACAAAAGTGGTATTTTCCCTTGGAGTCCTGAATCCCCTAAAGGATGGGTTGAGCTCTTTCATCTCTTCCCCAAGATTCATCCATAGTCAATTAAGTGCAAGTGTGTTTACATGTTGAATCTTGTCAAGAGGGCAGAGTTTTGCTATGAGTCAGAAGCAATGTGAAAGCTAATATAATAATAATGAGGAGGAGGAGGAGGAGGGGGAGAATGGAAGGGACCTTGGAGGTCATCTAGTCCAAGCCCCTGCTCAGACAGGAAACCCTATACTATTTCAGACAAATGGCTGCCCAGTCTCAAAGACTTCCAGTGTTGGAGCATTCACAGCTTCTGGAGGCAGGTTGTTCCATTGATTAATTGTTCTAACTGTCAGGAATATGTGAAGAGGAAAATAATGATGAGAGTGAAAGTGAGGAAGACCAGCTCAAGGTTTTGGCTTTCCATTAGCCAAAGAAGAAACTGTATCAACCACAGATTTGAGGAGCCATGATGCACTTGTAAGTTATTTTTTTTTTACTATGTCCCAAAAATATTTTCACTGATTGGCCTAGGGCTAACTTTTTAGAGACCGAGTGCCCAAACTGCAACCCAAAACCCAGTTATGCATCATTGGGTGCCGGGTGGGTGTGGCTCATTGGGTGGGTGTGGCTGTGGTGGTAACAGCAGACTAGATAGGACTAAAAAGTTCAATCAATCAATTCCAACTTTGCAAGATCTTTTGAAATTAACTGATTGATTGAACCTTTTTTTTTTTGTACATGGCGGCGGAGGCCTAAAGCGAAAAGGTTTTATAAAATCCAGCTGAAGGCCTAGGACTGGAGCACTGGTGCATGTGCCCACAGAGAGGGCTCTGAGTGCCACCTCTGGCACCCGTGCCATAGGTTCACCACCACTGCCTAGGGGTATTATGTACTTGTGGTATGGTGCAGGGGCACCAATTGCTACCCTGCAACAGGTAGCAAAATGTTTTGTGATATTTATTCTAAAGAGTACATCCCTATTCCTTTCAAATATTTTGGACTGCGGTGTCTTGGATTGGTGGGAGCAACATTTCAAACATCTGGAGGACCTTTTAGATGGCCTTTTCTAATTTAGTTTTTCTTCAATTCTATTCTACTAATGCAAGTGCATTTTGTATGGTTGAACTTCATTTGAAATTTAATATTTAATATCAGATCACCTTGAGCAGTCTACTTTAAAAATAGTTCTGCTTGCAATACTTTTTTCTCAAAGCATCAATGTGCACACACATTTTTTTTAATTCCATGTCAATTTATTAATATTAGAGACTGACTGCTCGGATGGAGGACAAGTCTTAAAAATCCTTAAAGGGGGGGGGGGAGAGAGAGCAGGATATAACATTCAACAAAGAGGATACCATCAGATCTTTCAACAGCCAAACCAAAGTCTGCATTCATTGTGCACACTAAAAAACTTTAAAGAGTAGGGGCAAAGAGATGAGATACATAAACTTCAGGGAACCATATTTCTCTTGTTTCTGTTGCTTAGAGTCTGCTGCTGTTCCAAGGTTGTTTTTTTCTCTGTTTGTAATCCATGAGAATCTTCAAGAAACCAAGATACAGCAAAATGGCATAGCAGAATAAGTGATGCTTTGTAATAAAATAAAAAACAAGCTCCCTTACTGTGTAAATAACATGGATAAAGATGAAGCAGAAAAAAAATAGGGCATACTGGTTCTGGGGCTGGAATAATTCATGGAGCTGTTGTCCAATCTGCAAGTGAAAGGAACACAAAAGAAACAAAGGAACACGGTGAAGTTGTTAACAGGCCCATGCGTCTGAGACAAAATTCAAAAAACTGAGCAATACAATTTGTAAATATCTGTATTTCCCTAATGTGTAGCACACTATACCTGGAAGTTAAACTACACCTGATATTTATCATGTGTACATGCAAGCATTGTCTAGTCTGGCCACTGCTAGGTTCTTTCTCCAAATTGTCTCTTCCATTGGCTGAAATATTCAAGACCTCAAAGATGCCAAAATAATAGACCCAAAGGTAATCTTCTCAAGATCTCCCCTATGTGTCATTTGCCTGATAAGCTTTGTTGAAAGAAGCCACTTAGAAATACTTTGGTTAAACTAAATAAAAATAAAAATAAAAATAATGTACTGCATCATAACAGCATCTCCTGTGACCAGACACTAATTGTGATACTATTTCCACACTTTCATTTGCCTCCTTTACTTACTTCCTCCTTTTTAAAACCATCTTTGCATCCAAGGATACACATCTGCCTCTGTTTGCATTCTCAAATAGCAAGCAGTAACTTTAATAACAAAAAAAAAATGTATCAGCTAGCCTTGGGATTTTGGCATCTCAGCCATTCCCCTTCACATTGTCTTTCCAGTTCAGTCAATCCAAAGTCATGTCCAAGAGGAAGCGAAGAAGAATTAGTGACAGCCCTCAGCAGAATCCTTCTGTTCTTTCCAAACTGGGCCAAAGCAATAGCAATACAACATCTACCAAAGAGGAATCTCCATGGGAACATGGAGATGGATCCCATCAAAAATCAGAAAACACTAGCTTAGTTCCCCTTTTCTTGGTTTTTAATGCCGCTTGTTTCTGAAAGTTCATGCTGGAAATTTCTTGAGGCTGCCTCTATTGTAGAAACTGGAACTGCTTTGTTTGTTAATCACTTTTTCCTGAGAAATTGCAGAATTCTTTACAGCAGCCTTCCCCAAGCTGGTGGCTTCCAATCGTGATGGTTTCAGTACATTTGAAAGACACCAGATGGAGGTAGGTGCATTAAAAAATGGTCTATCGTTATTAGGATAATAAACAGTGCCAATACAGATTTGTAAACATAGGTTTTAGTATGGAACTAAGCAACTGAAGATTTGTATAGCTCAATACCAGCAACTTAACAATGGTTAAAAGTCTATTACTGTAGATGAGCCAGTATAAATCTAGTTTTTATTTTTATCAAAAGGTTTCTTTTTGTCTGCTATGCCTTCCCACTTACTGATTGAGATGAAGCCTTTTGCCGTAGCTGTTCCATTTTTTCTTCATGCAGACGTCGCTTTTCATTATCTTCATGCCTATATTTTAGCCTAATCATGGCACCATCCAACCTCATCTTCTCCAAGTCAAGATCAGTGGTTGTGATCTGTCTTCTGTTCAGATGACCCATTCTTTCCAAACTGCTGGCCTCACCTATCCTGGGGTATATTTCTGGTGGCATAGCATTGCCCTCTATTTGTGTGGTGATTACCATCTGCTCTGCTTGACTCTTATTGTCTAAGATTTCTGTCATATCATCAGGAAAGTAGGAAGAGCCTGGAGACTCCCTTGCAGCATCCTGAAAATAAAAAGTATCGCTTTAGTCTTTATGTTTTACCCATCACATTCAGCCACAAGAACTAAAGAAAGGATCTGCAGAATTACAGCAGGGCCAGTTTCATCCATGTTTTCTTTTTCTCATTAGCTGACCAAACTTCTCTGTCAAAAATACAAACAGAGTTCATTGGCATGATCGGATACTTCCAGTGGGTGAGATAATGTAACTTTCCAAGAATAGTGAGTTATTTTCAGCTAACTGGAAGCAAAAAGGAAGTTTACTTCAAAACACTTTTTTATTCCATTGCTGCAAGAAGCAGGTGAGGTCTTCTTGTATTAAACAAATATTAGGATTCTTTGCTGTCTTTTGCTGGTTTTTAAAAAACCCCAGCTAGCAATAGGAAATAGATTGCCTAATCTACTTTTTAAAATGCATCTATTATTAATTACTGTGGGAATAAATCCCACTTCCTGGGATCTGAGAAGAATTTCTTTATAAAAGGAAAAATATAGGGAAATGGTAATACATTATCTCTTTGGCTGATGTTTATTATTTTTATGAATTTATAACACCAGCATGCATCTTTGTTTGATAGCATGATACAGTCTGTTCATTGAGGGCTTCTGTAAAGGAAGGTACGTACTTCATGGCCACAGAGGCTAACCCTACTTCCTATCATCAGTAGACCTGACATTATACTTATTTAGAATATGTATGGAGCATCTTGGTTGTTTCAGGTCCTATTTTATGTAAAGGAATAGCATAAAGCATAAGAACCCATCTCATGCATGCTGAATGTAAGCTAGTGAAGAGTGTAGGAAAAAGAATATAGTAAAGAGCAAAGGAAGAACTGCCCAGCAGATATGCCTTGTTCCCCTCTCCAGATGTATAAGGAAATCAGATCAAGTACCTAAACCACTTCCTAAATAAAGCTTAGAGATGTCATTATTTTGTTCTCTGGGGTAAAAGAGATACTAATCTGGGGCAGGAGGATCATTATGAAAGGATAACCCAATGGTTACAGAGACCTGGCTGAGAAAGGAGAAGGCAACTAACTTCTCTCACTGATGCAGAAGTCAAGCTGGAGGGCAGGAAGGCAGTGTGGCTGTTATCTATAGGAATTACATCTCATTGACCAAAAGCTCCACGCAGCAAAAGCTGCTACTGAATCCATACTAGATTAAAATGAACACAGTTGGGTCCCAGGAGCCAAGTTTCCAGGCATTTTGTTGAATATATTCTCACTGGAATGTGGGCTGGTTATCTACCCTGTTAGCATTTCAGACACTGGTTGAAGCAGACTTTTTCCAGAGAGCATTTAGGGAATAACTGGAATTGTGTTTAATTGTTTTGAGTTTAATTGTTGTCTATACATGATTATACTATTCATGTTTTTATTTTTGTTATATTTGTTTCCTTTTAACAATCCTGTAATCCCATGCATCAGAGTGGAGTCGGACACCTGAGATGCCCCTCCTGATGCCTACGCGGAGTTCACAGCAGATATTCTTTGTATCCAGAGACAGAAATATCTGCCGCTACCTCCTAGGATCAAACTCACAGCCTCTTGATTCTGAGGTAAGAGTTCCACTTCTAGGCCACCATGCCTTTCTTTTATTTTTGTTATATATCTAGGAATTATTATGTTGTTCAAAATTAATTAATTAACTGAATCTGATATTTTTCCTATTTTGTTGTCATGTTTGGGGGGCCAGAACACTATAAAGATATTGCTTGTACACTGTCTATTCTTCTGTACAACAGCCTTTCTGACTTTCTCATGCCAAAGTTAGGAGAAGGATAATTAATAGAAACAAAAGCTACCAAACCATTACTTCAAGTAGGAGATGGGAGAATGGTATGAAGACCCAAAGGATTTCTGGAACAGAAATTCTGAAACTCTCTGCCATCCATTCATCCATGGACCTCATCACCATTACAAATATGTTATTCTTTTATGATCTACAATAGACATGTCAAACTTGCGATGTCACATGATCTCACGCAATGTATCGGGATGGTTTTGTCATTGCCGGCAATGGGGTGGGTGTGGCTTCCAGATGATGCATCCAGCCCATGGGCCGGCAGTTTGACACCCCTGATCTACAAGAAGAGATGGCCCATTGCCTAATGGTAGGGCAGAAAAAAGGGCAAAATGAAGACTTCCCTCATCCATCTGCCACATTTCTTCTCACTTACCATCTTTTCCTTATGCTTTTTAGAATCTTTAATTGGGGTTATCTGCACAGCAAACTCAATTCCTGCCTGCATGTCCTTGAATTCTACATTGCCTCCTTGATAAGAATATTCAGACCCTTCCAGATTACTAGTATGATCCAGATCTGCTTGAATCTCCTTGTCTGTGTGGTGCACGGACTCTGTCTCAAAGTTGGAGAAATCAGAAGATGAATGGGGTTCTCTGGATATTTCCTGAAACAGATCAGATATGATGGAGGACTTATACAGTATATAACCTAATAGAATAATAGATGTAACTCTTCTACAGGAATGAAAAACTTTGGGTATTCCTATCTCCTTCTTCATTGTCCTGCTGGCTGAAGCTTCTGAGAGACTGAATTCTGGAAAACCACAGATTCTGTATTCTTCTTTTATAGGAATTATCCCTGAATGTGTTGTAATTGCCAAAGGGGGTGCAACAAAAGTAATTAAGAAAGTGTTCCCCAACTGCCTGTCAACCTGTCAGTTCGAAAGTATAAAAATGCAATTAGATAAATAGGTACCACTTCAGTGGGAAGGTAGCAGCGCTTTGTGATGTCATGCTGGCCACATGGCCATGGAAACATCTTCAGACAGCACTAGCTCAATGGCCTTGAAATGGAGATGAGCATTGCCCCCTAGAGTCAGCAATAACTAGCGGAATAAAATCTGCAAGGACTCCTTTACCTTTGCCTCACCTTCTTTCTATTTTCCACCCATAACTACAGAAAAAGAAAAGGAAAGGAAAAAAACATCCCTTCTTTTTGGCCTGTTGTCAGCAGGGCTCTTAAATATGTGGAATGGTTTACATCAGAACTCTCCAACCAATTCACACTGTAGACCCAAGAGTTCAATAAGCTATTGGTTTAATCTTCCCACCAATCTGAAAGGGGCATACAAGTTTTCAGCCCTGCCTGTCTTGAGTTTATGTCAAATTTGCAAATGGGTGCCATTTGTATAATACAGTGTTTCTTATGTTTTATTTAATTATTTGAAACACTCTTTCTCAACAGGATTAAACTCAGTAATGTATTAGAATTTCTTACCATCGCAGATCTATTCCCAATAAGAAAAGTACATCTGTTTCTGATTTTAAGGCAACAGCCTCTATTGTCCTATTTGCCCCATCTAGAAGACCTAAAAGCAGCTGCCCTGGTTTAATACACAGATGTGTGCGCTCACACTCAAACTCAGGCCCTGATTCTCTCCTAAACTGCCACAGTAGTGATGTCAAAAAAGTTCTACACTGTGATGACAGAATTTTCTGGTTGCCATAACAGTTAAGATAAAGTGTTGCTAAGGAATCAAGTGTGGATTCCAGTCAAGATGCTCACATCTCACCAAAGGAGTCTTTTTATATTTTGTTGAGAAGGACTAGAAATGTATCAGCAGTCTGTGATATGGCTCACACAATGTGCTGTGCTGGCTGGGGAATTCTGGGAGTTGAAGTCCATACCTCTTCAAGTTGCCAAGTCTAAATTATGATGATGTTTTAGAGTTTTTAGATTAAGTGTAGCTACAGTGTAGCTTTTTTCTAATATACTGAATAGTGTCATATGCATAACAAACTATAGAAACATTTCTATACAAGCTTTTCTGTATAGGATTTTTAACTGTCTCATTTCCTCTTCCCAAAAGTATTCTTATCCCAGATTTGATATCTTCAGTCTCTTAGACAGTTTTAGTATTTTCATTTCTTGGGCTTCCTAGTGAGCTTAGAGAAAAGAACAGAGAAAATCACTTTTTCTTGAGCTGGGAATCCCAGCACTCTTGTCCAGCTATCCTTGATTGTATCTGAACTATCCTTTCCAATTGTTCTATCAACCAGTTCTCTTTGCAGAAAACTAAATAAATAATCTTGTGCACTCATGTTGGGTCCTCACCTGCAGAGACCCCCTCATGGATTTAGCATGTCCACTCCATACAGCCCATGAATTTAGCACATGAACACAGCCCATGAACACTAAACAATGTCCAGCTACCAACAACAATCTCCTTTACTGTTGAATACTCCGGCCCTTATATTTGCCTCAAATGGTGTGCCTGCTTTCAAATGTCTATGTGATAGTTTGTGTGGTGATGGAAAGGGGAGAAAAAACTTTAACTTTGAAACCTTTTTGTAACATCCCATATGCAAGGCACATGGGATATGTTGTTACCAGGAGAATTACTATCCACCCTAAAAGACAGAGTGCCTTGGAGAAATCACATTACTCTTCCTGAACCATGGACATCATGAAGGGAGGAAGGAGAGTTAAAAACTATCAATGACATTTTTTTAATTATTGCTGGTGTCAGACTACATAAGCAAGGAAAGAGCACACTGATGATTTTGTACACATTTCAGTTTTCCAAAGCTAGATCTCCATTAGGCCTGCTGCATTCTTACTGGGAAGTGGAGTCCACAAATATCAACCCTTGGATCAGAGTCTTTTTCTGCTGTACCATAACATCATGTTCCAGACTGAAAGAGGAATACCTGGTGCTAACTTGTCATTTCTTTTTTTCCAAATTGTATAAAGGCAAGCAGGAATTAAGCTGGATATACTCAGTCTCAGATTCCCTTTGCCTTTCTTCAAAAAGCAAGGTTCTAATTCAAAAACATTGACTTTCCTACAACAATGCTTATTTTCTGATAACATCTGTCTGTTTAAAAGACTCTCCCTCCCCTTAATAGATATGGTTAAGCCCCTCAAGTTGCCAGAGGTGCAGCCAGAGCATGAAGGAAGCTGAGTCTGGAAGCTTGTGACATCATTAAGACAATTAGCCTGGAATGTAGATTTGAATAATCTGGTTTTAGAAACCAGGAGAACTGGGATCTGACTGAAGGCAAAAGGACAGATTTAATTTAATCTCTAAACACAGTGTTATCAAGCTACTTATATCTCTGACTCTGGTATCCATGTTCTCCATGGTAAGAGCCTAACCCTTTCCAAAAACGTTCAAGGCACAATTTGCTCACTTTATCCTCACAAGAGTCCTGCATGGTAGATTGGGAAGATAAATTGGGATGGGCTTCCCAAACGTTTCTCTGAGATTCATTGAAAATATAACGGATTACAGTTTCCTGACATTCCTCAAGGATTTTAGCTGGTTTTATTATTTCTATTCCTTTGAAAACCAAGTTTATACATTTCATGTTTTATCTGATCTTGCTTTCTCTGCTTCCATGTCTTCGGTTTCAAGCAAAGTGGATGCTGCCTGAGAAAGCTTGAACCAAAAGATTACTATTCCAGCATCCTTTTCCTCCATTCCTCTTTAATTGTTTGATAGACTAAAGAGTATTTTTAAAGTTCTCCCATATCTCCTGTCTTGCATTGTAAATCTATTGGATCTTGCCCTGCCTTCCTGGGCAGTCCAGTAAATCATTGCCCTCTTTTATCTTTTTTTTAAAGTTAGTTTTTTATCTGCCTCTCAGAGGATTTTCATGTGATGGGAGGGCTCAAATGTTTCAGTGATTCTGGGATTGATTGCAGTGGTACGTAATCTTCTGTTATGGACACCTTTGCCTATAAGATCAAAAGGGAAGGTTAAAGCTAATGGTAATCCATAATAGGAATGAGGGCAGGTGGGACTTTGCAGACCTAAAGAAGGAATTCCAAAATCAAACTAGGAAGATGACAATGCAAGCTCCTTTTGTACTGTTGTCAAGGAAACAGTATGGACATGGCTGGAATATTTAGACAAGTTTAGGTGCCGGATTATGAGATTCCCAGATCAGAATGTACTCCTGGGCAAGAATATCCAATTTTCATAAGTGGATCTGGAGATGATGACAAGGCCAGATCAAAGCTGCAAGGGAGTCTTATCACTGATGGTGGCAGTATTAAAAATTTGCCATACAAAGACAAGTTAAACTGAAACATGGAATATATAAACATGAGCTGAATGTGACAATGTCATATGGACCATACTAAATTGGATAAATTAGGGGTGATTTAACTTAGCTGAATTATGATTACATAATATATCATTCAAGTCATGATAATATATAAAGAAAATGGAGTGGCAATAATACTCAAAGGGGAAATCACTCTGTGCTCAGCTATAATTTGCTCAATAATAGGCTCAGACTTACATATGCAAATGCATGGATTACTACAGAAGTAAAAATGTAGATAATGTTTTTTTCTTGAGCTCAGTAATAAATAAAGATGAACAGTGTGCTGGAAAGGTAAAGATAAGGTTAATGCTAGGAAGAAAGGATAAGAATATTTGTAACATAAACAAAAATCGAGTAGCTAAAGCAATGCTATTTGTAATGATAAAATACAGCTATGAAAACATAGGCATTGTAAAAGTACTGTGTGAGATAAAGAGGATTGAATTATAGATCTGAGGGTGGCTACACAAAGTACAATGGACTGCAAGAGGACATAATCAATCAATCCTGACTAAATAAAGGCTGATTGCTTCCTTGAAGTAAAGATCAGCAGGTAGAAACTCATATTCTGGGTATGTTATATGAACAGATAAACACTAAAAAGATGATGGTACTTGACAAAGTTGAGGGAAGTCAAAGGAAGGGGAGACAGCAAATAAAGTGGCTGGGAAGTTTAGAGATTACAGGGTGCAGTGGAAGAGCTACAGATTATTGCTAGAGCCATGTCCAATTGATGAGAATTTGTCCATGGAGTCACTAGGGATAGAAGGCAATGGCATTAACTAAGAAATAAGTTTTTAAATTTATTTTATGGACAAAGAGGGTTAGATTTTATACCACCACTACCCCAACAATCTCAAAAAAAGATCCAGGCTTTTCTTAGTCATTTATACGTAATTTCCCCATATTTCAGGTGCAGAAATCCACAGGCAGTTAAAAAAAAATACAGAAATCTCTGGCCAGTGATTTCACCTGGCTTTCTGATGCACAGAAGTGGTACAACCATATATGTTAGCCAAGTATGTTAGGCTCATCTTCACACACCCTTAATCAAGTTATGAATTATACCTTCGTAATCATTTTCTAAAGGCAGTAGTGAATTATTCCTTTCTATTATATAGGTGTTTGGTGATCAGCTACACCCACCTTAAGCAAACGTTTGGTAAAAATGTTCATAAGATTAGCTCTATATCTGGCCTACAAACAAAAATTCCTTTGACGTTTTTTAATATTCTCACTTTTCTGCCACTACTTAGTGAAGGTCTAGTTTTTTGTAGTCCAAATACAGTAGTCCTATATAATATGGATCCCCAATTCCTGCTCTGTGGACCAGCACCAGTTCGCAGCATGCCAGAAACTGGGTTGCGCAAACAAGTGAAACCACGCCCCCTACAGTCAACGGAAAAACCTCTCTCCACGGAACTGGCCCCTGATGCCCAAAAGGTTGGGGGCCGTTGCTGTATAACATGCTCTAAAAATTTCAACTATGTTAACAGAAACCAGAAGTTTAGGACTCTGTGGTTATGTTTCCCTAATAGTAAAGGAAGGAACTCTGGTCTCAGAAGAAACCATATAACCATATAATTTGCCAGAATATCTAGAAAGATCCTTCTATAGCAGCATGGAAAATTCTGAATTCATGTAAACTGCCCCTAAAAATTTGTGTCCTTCAACTTGTTTCTTCATTTCACTTAACCTTCATATGCAGAGTTTGCACCACTCCAGGATTAATTGTGCACCTTTGTGATTCCACAAGAGTGACACCATTTGGCAGCTCAGCTAATTTCTTTCCAGCTCAACTCTGCAGATCAAAATAATGCAGATCTACTTTTCAGCTGAAATTCTGGAGCTCTATGAAGCTTTGAAGTGGGATATACTCCCAAGGCAGAAGCTCTCATCTCTCAACTCCCTCCCCTCATAGAGCCATGGTTTCCTGATGCCAAGATGTGATTATTCACCATTCTTTTACATTGTAAACAGATTTATGATATCATAGTTGCTTTCCCTCATTTCAGTGACGAGAGCACTGTTTAGCAAACTTCATTCATTTATTCATTCATTTAATTAGTTAATTAATTTATCAATTAATTAATTTATCAATTAATATCTATACCATCCATCTTGCCAAAGTGATTTTGAGCATTTTACAGCCAATCATTTAAAAAATAATGATTCTAAAATGAGAACTGTGGTATTGTTAGACACTTTTCATGTATTCCCATTGACCATCTGGAAGGCTCAGTTCCAGATGTGAGGTTATTAGTGATTAGAGGATGGCTGTAGTAAAGACAATTGTGAGCCAGTCTGAAAGAATTTCTGGGAACTGAAAACAGTGCTGTCGGAAGAGAACGGCACTGATTTTTTTTATAGACATTCATCTTAGTGAAACTACAATTATTATTTTTTTTCAGTCTATGGGTTTTCTCTTCCTTTTCTTGTCCTTTCACTCTGTTTACTTTTATTGATGCCATTCCTCTTCCCTAACATCTTCTTTTATATCTTTTCTCCATTTGCACTGAAAATATATGGTGAAAAACCAAGTGATCTACATAGCTTGTTTGTAGATATCTGCTCTTTCACTGTTTCTCCACACTTTTCATGATGAGTTTCTACAAGTGGCATTGTTAAGAACTGGATATTTTCATTTGTTCAGAATAAAATCAGTTTGGCGTGAAACATAAAAACATTTGAATGTGTATTGCAAGGTAGGAAAACCTTTTCTTTCATATATTACTCAACTATAATTTCCACCCATTACCACTGCCAGTGCTGTCTGGAGTTACTAGAAATATCTGGAGGGCCACAAGTTCTCCACCTCAGATATATAGAGAAAGACCCCTCCCAAGATAAAGTGTTAATTAGGCCATCTCAGAATGTATGCATGAGGCCCCTCTCCCTTTCTTGTGTTTTAGGAGGTCAGTGAAGATATGCCAGTGTGTCCTGCCAACCTCTCTGTTATGACTGATAATCTGGCTAATGGAGATCAACAGATGCTCTTAGAGACCCTGCAGCAGATAGAAATCATAAACACTCCTTTGCCATTAGTGGCAGTTGCCAAAAAGGAGAAAAATGTCCACAAAGATGATAAGTATGACTATGCTGAGGAACAAGAACAACAAAAAGCCAGGCACACACAAACCCATGAAACTGACAGTGAGATAGAGAGGATGCGGTTGGATTTTGAGCTGACTGTACTGAAACGGCAGCATGAGGAGAATGATAAGCAACGGCTGCATGAGGAAAAGATGGAGCACATACGCCAGGAATCACCCTCCAGGAGTGGTGCTCATGTGGAAGAAGAGCAATTTGGGGGTAAGCTGGACCCCATTACAGAAATTGAACTGGAGAAGATGCGCATGGAGTTTGAACTGGCCAAACTGAAGCACATCTCTGAGGAGAATGAGAGGCAGCGACAACATGAACAAAAACTGTATGAAGAGAAGGAGAAACAGAGGCAGCATGAAGAGAAGATGGAGCAAATGCACCAGAAGCAAGGAAACCTTCATATAGTGAGCCAGAAAATATCTGGGTGTGGCCCAGCAGAGGCCACAGCTGAAACAGCTTCTGTGGCCTTTGCTGAGATCGGTAAGATGAGGATAGAGCTCCAGCTGGCTTTGGAGGTATACACGCCAGAGATAAAAGAAAAGAAGCTCTCCAGAGAGCAAAATGGGCATCAAAAGATTCCAAAACGTGAACAACAAGTGGGGACCACCTCAGAGGTAAAAAAAGCTGAAATGCCCCCAGAGCAACGGAATGATGGGGTGACTGAACACCTGGGCCTGCAGGTGCCACGCATTGTGGTCAATGGGGCAGAGTCCCATTGGTCAAGCAGCAGGCTGGACTTAGCCATCGAGACTGAATTGGAGAAAAGGCGGATGGAATTTGAACTGACGAGGCTGAGATATGAGCATGAAGAGAATGAACGTCAGCGCCAGCATGAGCAGAAAATGGAACAGCTGCGTCAGCAAGTATCACTCAAGGATATAGCATAAGATATACAGGGTGTGAGTAAGAAAATGAGGGCCTGTGATGCCTATATTTTGCCATCTTTACTTGGGGATCCATGTACTCTGATCAAGAGGAGGATGGAGAATGATAAATAATACAATTTTCCAATGGGGATGCTGGGATTAGTGTCCAAGTGCCATTTGGTTTGAAATGAAACCCCACTAGGCATTTGTTATCTGTACAGTGGTCTCTCCTAACCAGTGCTTTTTTTCTAAAAAAAAAAAAAAAAAAAAAGGTGCTGGAACACACACAGGTCATACAACCCGCCTTGCCTACCCTACAAGGTTCCATCCCAAAAAGGTGCCGGAACTCCGTTCTGAGCGTTCTATGAGAAAAAAAAGCCCTGCTCCTAACTAATAGTTAACTAACTTAACTATTGCATGTTAAGAAATTGTCTTTGGGAAAGCATAGATCAAAGCTAATTCAGAGCTTGGGAATGGATGCAAGAATATACAGGTAGTCCTTGACTTACAACTGTTTGTTTAGTGACCATTTGAAGTTACAGTGGCACTGAAAACAGTGACTTACAACTGTTTTTCACAATCAAAATTCAGATGCTTAACAACTGATTCATATTTATGATGGTTGCAGTGTCCTGGGATCATGTGATCCCCTTTTGTGACCTTTTGACAAGCAAAGTCAATGGGGAAGCCAGATTCACTTAACAACTATGTTACTAACTTAATAACTGCAGTAATTCACTTAGCAATTGTGGCAAGAAAGGTGGTAAAATGGGGCAAATTTCATTTAGTAACAGAAATTATGGGCTAAATTGTGATCATGCCAATGCCTAACTGCACTGTTAACTTAGCTGGAGCAGTAGAAGTCTAAATCAACAATCAGCAGGAATCCAATAATATTGGTAGCATTGTAAACCCTAGTTCACAAAATGGGAATTTAGCCACACGTACACCTCACAGCTGCTTGCTAGGTTTGAGTCAAGGGGGGGTTTTCTCTTGAATTACAATGTGAAAGGAGTTGAATTTATAGGTACCTCTCTGTGCAATCTAACACATTCATTCTTTTTCATCCCTACAGTGTGAATGAGGAATCCATGTAATTACTGCTGCACACCTTCCCTTTAAGAGGCTGAGGTCACTGAGGTCACTGTTCTGTATAACTATAATCCTTCACTTTCAATTGTGGAGGAGCATATTATAATTTATTGAAATACTCTGCTGTCTGTGCATTGTGTTTTTCTTCATTAAATAAGTATTATAGAGTGTCTTGGAAGATAAAACCTTGGCTTCAAGAGGTGATGTTTACCTCGTCAAAACTGTTTTTAGAAGTTTTATGGGGAATCAACTAATTCTGTGGAACTGCATGCATCAAATTGTAATCCAGGCTCTCTGGAACAATGTTATATGTCTAGAGATGCCATAATGAAAGCATAGGTTTCCTATAATGTATTATTTGATTTGTATCCAGCTCCTACAACATCTTCTTCTTAGCCTATTCTATCTGTGTTATCATCCTGTTCATTCTAGTAGTGATAATCAGTAGATTTAAAAGGCTGTACTGATCTTAAAAATATCATGACCAAACATAGACATTCAGATGGTCGGTGAGAAATATTGCTGATCTTAATCTAGTTAGATCACTGAGAATTCTAACCAACGCCTGCTATGGATGATTCATGATCAGTTGTTTGATTCTCATGGGATACAAGTATTAGAAAATAAATAAATAAAAACAAAGAAATAAATGAATGAATGAATAGCATAAGTTTGTGGGGAGGGGGTGTATGATTTGACATGTGCATAGATTAAGACCTCATCTTTGACCATTTTAGTGTTATTATTGCTAACAGAAATGTGACTGTATGTATTCATCAACTACAGGGGAAAAGATCAGTGCTGGTCATCTGTTGAAAAGACTGGGGCTTTTTCCTCCCTAGTGTCCCTTAGTGAGATCCAATCATTGCTGTGTGGAAGTAGAATAAGCTGCCTGCATAAAGTTATCTTGTCCTGCTCGCCTCCCTTCTAACATAATATGCAAGGTTACTTTATTTATCGAGATTCTCTTCTATTGTTCTATCATTTATCTCCTCATCTGTAAAGTGGTGTATTAATTATTATTCTGGTTTATTAATCAGGTATCTTAACGAGAAATGAACTGTGCATTGGGAAATCCAGCTCCAACTTTCAGTTTAACAGTCTTCTTGCAGCAGTCAATGTCAGTCATTGTACAGACAATTGAAAGGCAAAGCTTTGAAAGAAAATTTCAGAACATTACTAATAGCACAGTGGCAAGTTGACTTGTATTTCTAGCATGCTAAGCATGTGCAACAATGAAACAAAAATGGAATCACAGGAATCAACACTGCCTCCTGTTGGCTATGTGTGGTGTTTGGTCGTTTTTATGGATGATATTTAAAATTCATGCGAAATTGTGTTAAATTGCCTCTCCCACATCTGTTTTTGAGTAAAAGCCACTAGAGCAATTGGTTTTGTAAAAATCTGCTTTATTCAAAACTACCATTAGATAAAAAGCTAAAAACCTGTTCAAAAAATACATTTCTTCATGGTCAGAGATAATACTAACTACTAGTCGTGTACATACAACAATTTCTAGAAAAAAGAAAAAGAACAGTTCCATCCCAACTCTATTAATGTACAATCAGTGAATTGAAAAAATTCTGCACATAGATATCTACAAATAGCTATTCTTTTCTCTGAAATGTTGAAAAATGATGACCTGGTATATATGAATACAGTGCAACGAACATCACATGCAGTAGAGGATATTTCCACTGTGATTGGTAAAATCATCACAAAACAATATACAGAAAATTGGTACAATGACATATTCTGTGGTTTATAGAACATAAATGACAATTGGAGGGCCACTGTGGTATAGTGATTTAAAGCCCCAAGTTAGAAACCAGGAAATAGCCAGCTAGGTTGATTTGGGCTAGTCACTCATTCTCTGCCTTAAAAAAGGTCAGGGCAAATGATTTTTGAAAATCTTGCCAAGGACCTGTCTGGGCAGTGACTAGGTGTCAAAAGTGACACAAAGGCATGAAAAAGAGGCCAAGACAAAACAGAAAGATGGACATCCTTCCAATGGTGATGAGTTTTTAGGCTAACAACATCTGGTCTAACTAACTGGCAAGCTAATTTTCATCAGCAACTGTGGCTAGGCGCCCCAACTCCCCTCATCCCATTGAAACAAGAGGTGACTGACTACACTCACTGTCTTCAATGTTTCAGGCTTTGTCCCTTGCACAGGAGGTCCCTGCTCACTTTAAAAATGATTCATAAATTGTATTATGGATTTTAGCCACAAACCACCAGTCTCTGCTATTTAGCCTGCTTTCAGGCATCAAGGCAAGCCTGACATTAAAAAGAAAGGGGGAGGGGGGAACTACAAAGTTTCCTTAGTTCAAGGAGAGGATTGCTTAAGGCACAATGTTTTTTTTTGACAAGTTCCCACAGATATCTAAAAACATCCAGTCTGCATAAATGAATAGCAAAGAGGCACCATGCTTGCACTGCACTGTACTGAACTAATTTTCAATGTTTTGCCTGCATCCCCCTCATACATTGGGACCCGGATCCATACTAGGGGTCAGTTAGGGTTATAAATCAGAAAGAATTTATTCTTCCTCATATCCTAATCTGCAGATGAAAATGAAGAAGTCAATAAGATGGCATAACTGTAAAGGTTGCACGGGAGAAGAGGGAGAGTGGCAGAAGGAGATTATGATGATTAGCTAAGTTTAGCCATGCAGAACCTAGATTTTACATTAAATTGAATCAAGTTCACAGTGTACCTAGTTCGGTTGCAACAGCTGTCCTTTTAATGCAGTGGCAGAAAATAATTCATGTCCTGATTTCTGCTACCAAGCATAGTTTAATTCAACCTTCTCCAAGCTGGCGCCTTCAGATGTACAATATGTTACTGCATCTCTCACTACTCTTACAGGGATTGCAATGATAGGTGGCAATGAAATAATCTACTCATTCAAAGCCCTTCAGATATGCTGAGATTGCAATTTCCACAATTCATGACCTTGGAGACCAAGACTGAGAAGACTGAAGTAGTCTAATGCCTCTAGATTGTGTTAAATTGGGAAAATATATAGTACTTCATTTAATGGCACTCAGGTGAATAGCCATCCCTGATGATTGGCTGGCCTAATTCACCTACTATATAATTTGAATAAACCACAATTGATTGGGTTCATAGAACATGGTAACTCATAAACTATGGCTTACAAATCACACTGGCTAGATGTAGGCAACTTATTAACAGACCAGTAAATCATATTTTTAGTATGTTTTGTGAATTCCTTCACTGTATTTCTATCTGAAGTGCTTGCAGTTTAGTGATAAGGTATCTTTTTACACTCCTGAGTTGAAGGTATGTTCTCCCACATTCTGAGTCAGTAGAAAAAACTTGTAATTGCCAATTCCTGATATTTTTTTAATCTCTGTGGCCTCTATTTGGAGCCATGGCATCATTTTTTTTCCAAGGTAACAGATGAAAAAAGCCTAGCAGATGTTATAATATACATGAGGCTGTCCTTCCTGGACAATATTAGAACATGAGGGAAAATATTACTTTTCATACTAGTATAGCTAAAAACTGGTCTGTCGCTCTCACTGACTAGGGACAAGATGAAGGTAATGTCATGGGGATGGAGCAGGAAAATAAATGTTGTCAGGACAGGTTTTTCCATTATTAGATGAAATATTGAAAAAGCCCATAGCAAGTAACCTGGAATATGAAATTATTTTCCTGATAGATTTCCTCTTACCCACAGAAACCTACGGAAGAACATAATGGGATTACTTTGATCTTATTCAAAAGTGATAGCATAATGACTTTTTTTTAAAAAAGGGGTTTTTTTTACTTTTGATTATAGTTAAAATTACCCTGATTAAAAAATAATATTCAGTCACCTTAACATCATACCAAACTAACTGGGTAAGCCTATCATCTATGATACAAAGTACTCTTCCATGGATCCCTGGGCCAATTGTAACAATAGGCAGGTTAAACATCACAGTGTAGAATCTGTGACATCAGCTTGACAGTTGGATCTGTAAACTTGGCTTTCCTGTGAATATATTGTCAGAGACAACAGTTAAAGATGTACAGGATGGAAAATTGAAAACTAGTGAAATTGAAGGCAGCTCGTTGCATCTTCCAGCCTTTGTATTCTTACTTCCTGCTGCCTAAATTCATCATGGTAAGGTTTCTACTTATTCTTGAATAACAGACAGTGAGAGCTTTTCCTTCTAATGCAAACATGGGGCCTAAAATCCTAAATCCAGATTGGGATTTCAGGAGGAACAAAGGGTTACACTCTTATTCTTCATACAGAGAAGAGCAACAAAGATGATTAGGGGACTGGAGGCTAAAGCATATAAGGAACGGCTGCTGGAATTGGGTATGTCTAGTTTAATGAAGAGAAGGACGAGGGGGGACATGATAGTAGTGTTCCAATATCTCAGGGGCTGCCACAAAGAAGAGGGAGTCAAGCTATTTTCCAAAGCGCCCGAAGGCAGGACAAGAAGCAACGGGTGGAAACTAATCAAGGAGAGAAGCAACCTAGAACTAAGGAGAAACTTCCTGACAGTGAGAACAATTAACCAGTGGAACAATCTGCCTCCAGAAGCGGTGAATGCTCCAATATTGGAAGTTTTTAAGGAGAGACTGGAAAGCCATTTGTCTGAAATGGTATAGGGTTTCCTGCCTGAGCAGGGGGTTGGACTAGATGACCTCCAAGGTCCCTTCCAACTTTACTATTATTATTATTATGGTCAATTAACATATTACAGCTAGTTTAACTGACATTACAGCTAATTACATTGATGGGAACGCTTCCCAAATCACAGTTTTAACATCAAGAGAATAAAAAAACTCAACAGTGAAGAAAGGTCAATCAACTCAATAGGTCTTTTTAAATCAGGCATGCCAAACTCGCAACGTCACGTGACATCGCACGACGTATCGGGTGGGCGTGGTTTCAGTATGATGCATCTGGCCCGCAGGCCGGCAGTTTGACATGCCTGCTTTAAATAAATGGATGTTCCCTGGAGGAACAAAGGGATCAGATCAACATTTCATCACCTGAGCTACACCACTGAGAATATCCTTTCTTGTGTACCTAATAAACATACATCTGATGTTAAGAATGACCCATCCCTTAAAAAAAAATACAAAAAAATGTTATATACAATGTTTTAGCTATGCCAAAATTTTGAAAATAATAGGCAAATGTTATGTATAAACTACAATTTATATAATGACATCGTTTTCTTGAATCATTTTTTTTGCTTGCTTAAAAGAGAAAATTAAATAACTTATTAATATTCAATTAATAATTAATAGTAATGTGCTTAAATAATTCTTTACTGAAAAACAGCACAAAATTCCCAAACTCTCTAAATGGTTCAAAATTAACTGATATATAACTTTATAAACAAAATCAACTTGTTTTAGAAAGAACTACATAATTTAGAAACTGAGATTGTTATATGAATTTATGGAATAACAATTTTCATGATAATGCAGACTTTTTACAGTTACAACTCTACCAATTTTCATATTGTTTTTCTTCTTTTAATCATTAACTACCTAGTTGAGGTAGTCCTCAATTTACGACCACAACTGAGTCCAAAATTTCTGTTGCTGAGACATTTGTTAAGTGAATTTTGCCCATTTTATGACCTTTTTTGCCACTGTTGTTAATGAATCAGTACAGTTCCCCGTTGACTTTGCTTGTCAGAAGATCACAAAAGTTGATCACATGACTCCCTGGGACACTGCAACCATCACAAGTCAGTTGCCAAGCATCTGAATTTTATTCATGTGACCATGGGGATGCTGCAATGGTCCTAAAGTGTGGAAAACTGTCATAAGTCACTTTTTTCAGTGCCATTATAACTTTGAACAGTCGCTAAATGAACTATTGTAAGTCAAGGACTACCTGTATAGGGTTTTGAAAATGATTTTCCTTTCCTTGCTTACACTAAATTAAAATTAATTTAAATAGTCATTATTATTTAAATTATGATAAAATAATTGCCAAATCACAGTAACTGTACTGTAACTGGCTTTGTTTTTGAATTATTCAGAGTGTTGTTTTCATGTTGCTTTATATAGCTAGTCCATTAAACATCCCCTATGTCCATATGTTATACTAGGAGGACAACCCTGAAAATGTGTCTTCAGCGGCTGACAATGCAACTGAGCAAACAACAGGTCCTGATGATTTGACTGAGCCACCTTGTACACCTAATGATGTGACTGATCCATTGGACATTAGAGACGAAGAAGCGCTGATGAGGACAAAGCCACAGCTGGGGCTGAGCAATCTGCACTCTGGCTTGGTCAACAGAGAGGGTGAAGTGGATGCCTGGCTTCAAGAGGAGCAATCAAATACCAAGCAGGTCAGTAACTTGGCAACCCAGCTGGAGAAAATGCGCCTTGACATGGAGCTCGCCATGACCAGATACCGTTACGAAGATAAGGAGAAGCAGCGACAACATGAGGAGAAAATGGAGGAAATGAGGTTGCAGTCACCATCAGGACAGGTGAGGCTGGCAGATAAAAAGAAATTCTAAGACGATCAACAGAAAAGGAAATTGCCACATTGTTTTCGATTTAGAAACTGCCATTTATTTTTATGGGTTTCTTCAACAATCCTTGTCTCACTTCTAGTAATCTAGGAACCATAGATGAAGGGATCTTTGGAGAGATACTGTCAAAGTTAACTGCCATACCTATTGTGGAACTGATTGACAAACCAGACTTTGCAAAAACTAGATCTCCTGACATTTGTTAAGAACATTATTAATGCTAAAGATATTAAAATGCAATTGGATTGAATAATAAGCAGGAATAGCAATAGGAAAATAGAATTAATCAGGAAAAATATTAGGGGCATATTGCATACTACAGCTAGTATTTCACTTTTTCTTTCCAATTAGGAACTCAGGTCACAGAACTCAGGCAATGTAGATTTGGCCATAACATTTGATTTACTCCTGCCCCATGGGAAGTGGGGCAAGCAATACCACCTTGCTATGTCATCAAGCAACTGGGTCACTTTGCACAGAGTTATCATTTTGCTTGTATCAAATGCCTACCTTTCTTGCTGCCTATTGCATAATAAATTTAACCTTTTCACTTATTCCCATTCTCTAATTGCTAAGAAAATACCTGTCTCCTGCTGGTTAATGAGCAAGTGTTGAAGTATACCACATTGGCTAAGAATAATTGGGAAATATTAAGTTTCTCTTTGTGACTGAACAACACAAGTTAGCTCAAGAAAGTTCTAAACCCATTGCTTGGGGTAAGGAAGAGTTTAATGTGGACTACCAAGTTGAGATTGTTCAAACAAGAAGAGGGGGAAAAAAGTCACTGTTAATAAACAGACCTGTTTCCACACACACTGAAAAATTTAGAGATACTCCTGGCTACTCAACCCAGGTTTGTCTTTGCCTGGCTTGATAGCTGTATTCTTTCCCAGGGAAGATTGATCTGGCTGCAGCTGATAAATATCAACTTTCTGGTTAGAATTCTTCAATTGTTTTTGGTGGAGTTGCTCCTGAAAAACCTTCTGAAAACATAGCTGGAACAAAATCATCATGAAAGTTGCTCTCAGGTGTGCAGTGTATGTCATGTATTACAAATATGCAAAGCTTTCCAACTTGCTTTCTGGCTGGATTCAAGATGGCAAATCATGATGTAAGCAAAAATGATGACATACATGGTGACATCATCAGGCAAATTACTTACGTACTTGATCTTAGTGTCTGGTGCAAATGAATATGTCATGATATTTTAGTGAAGAGGGCATGCTTGGTACATCATTTACCCCCTTGACCTTCTCTATTAAACCCAATGAATGCAGCTGTGGTAAAAAAATGCCTGACCTTTATTTAAATTATTTATAAATTCATTAACAATGTCAGGGAAGGCTCTAAGATAAACATCCAAACTCAAATTCAGTTGACTGAGTAGAGTATCCATCAACAATGAATAAAGATATGGACTTCAGGATCCAATCTGAGATGATCACTGGGACCAGAGGCTTGTTCTTCCAAGCTTTCAGATTCATGCTGGAGCCCATCTTCAGAGAACTTCTCAACCTCCAGGATGAGACATATCCTGGAGATTAAGAAGTTCCCTGAGGCTGGGTTTCAGCATGAGTCCAAAGGTTGGAAGAACAAACCTCTGGTCCTGGTGACTGACTCAGACTGGATCCTGCAACATTATCCTGAGACACATATATTTGTCTTCATTCATGAAATATATGGATTTCTTAAGACAAAGAGCAAGATAATTTCATTTCCTATTACATATTAAAATACTGGCTGATGTGGCTATGAAATCTTTAGTACTAAGCATGATACAATGCCTTTCATGCATTTGAAAGAAACTTACTAACTTAGGGGTTGGGTAGACTATTCAATGCACCCTTCCCTTCCAACATTTTAAAGCCATCTTCTAGCATGTGCTGGATGTATCTGCTTTACTTTGTCTAATGCCAAATTCAGCCCTATCAAATGAAACAGTATTGGTGTAAACGTGTTGAAGTACATAAAAACAGAATTAAAGATTCTTAATTAAATGACTGAGCAGTTCTGAAGCATAATTTAGAAATGTAGGAACCATTAAGATAATGGAGTTACCTGACTAACATACTGTATATGGTATGAACATATTCTTCATCTGCTCTTTACAGCCAACAAGCAAATAGATACAAAACTAATCATCCCCAAAGACAACTGCAGAATTTAGTCTATTCATGCATTAGTTTAAAAGGTCTTTCACTGTCAGTTTCTTAATGTAATTAAACAATTATGGAATACTTGTCTGGTTCTAAAAATATTCTGAGGATTGAATTTGAAAGTCATATTAAAATGATATTACACAGGCATAATCAATTATGACATTCATGGCTTACTTCCTAAGAGAAGCTGACTTGCACTCCATCTTTGGAAATGATATTCTGAGTGGGATCTATGTTAGGATTGCACTGTTAAGTACATTAAAGAAAGGGAAGTTACTATCCTCCTGATTTCCCTGAAGTGATTTATTTATCGCAGGAGGCCTTGCTGAAAAATGCAAGAAAGGCCACTTTCCTACAAGCCAGAACTGGTGGGACCACAAAATAGACAAAGTAATAGAAGGCAAAGTGGCTAAAGTGCTCTGGGACTTTAGGCAGACACCTGCCATGTAACATCCCAGACTTAACAATTCTTGATAAGAAAGACAAAGAAAGTCTGAATAATGGACTTTGCAGTACCTGGAGACAACAGAAGATAAGAGAAAGGATTGAAGAAAATCACAAAACATCATTTGCCTGCAGGCAAGAATTGGTGGAACCATAAAATGGAGAAAGTCATACAAAATGAAGAAGCTAAATTGCTTTGGGACTTTAGAATTCAAACAGACAGGCACCTGCTGCATAATATCCCAGACTTAACAATTGTCAATAAGAAAGATTTAAAAAAGGCTGGCTAGTGGATGTGGCAGTACCTGGAGACAGCAGAATAGAAGAAAGAACTAGAGAAGATCACAAAATATAAAGACCTGCAAACAGAAATAGAACCACCATTGCAGAAGCAAGCAAAGGTACTCCCAATAGTAATAGGCACTTTGGATGCAATCCCATAACAACTGGAGCACCATTTGAACACCATTGGCATTGACAAATTCACCATCAGTCAATTGCAAATGGCAGCTTTACTCAGAACAGCTTTACTGCGACAGTATCAGTGACACCTTCAGGCATCTACAACTGCCTATCCCAGATTCTTGAAAAGGAATCGATAGGTAGAGAAAAATGCCAAATCCAGTCTGAACATCTGGCTGACTATGCGATGAACCATAATAAATAAATTGCACTGAATTTAATGAGATTTATTTCTGAATAAGATAGAACTGAGTTATCAGAACTGTGGAAGAAACAACAGAAACTAAAGTTATAAATCATAATTATGTAAATTTCAACCAGAATAAACCCCATATTCCGTTCTTCGGCTTAATGTTAAGCAGTAAAAAAAAAAGAGGCAATTTGAATCAGACAACTTAAGTATTTTATAACAGAAATAATGTAGAAAGAAATAAAGCTGCTTGTAAAGAAGGCCAAAAATGTACCTTTGTTCTTTGTATTTTCAGGGACTGATAGGCTACGAAAGGTAACTGGAATGTCGTCTTTCTTTTTTCCACAGGTTTCAGGAGGTGGCCGTCATTTTCTCTTACCACATGATCCACTTACTTTATTCTTATACTGTTTCATCTTCATACACCTCATCTATATAGCAAAAGAGCTTATCTTCTTTTTCTTTAAGAAGCATGGGATGTTTGCTATTGGTGCTGTCCTAATATTTGCAATTAAGATATTTTGGAATTAGAGTTTTTGATCCCTGAGGCTCTCTTTTCATAAGATCCTGACAGCAGCCATGCCTTGCATCTGAGCACTTCATGGACTTAATTGAATGTAACCTTCTTATCTCCTTATCTGATGAATAGAAACTGTAAGCCCTTTCCTGCAAGAGCTTCGTCAGCTCTACACAGTACATGTATATTCAGATCTACTTTGTACAATGCAATAATTAAAAAATTGACAGATATATCATTGAGTTTGAATAAATTATTTTAATAACTGAAAATATGGATGGCCTCAAATCTAATCTCTGTTTCTTTTTCCCCAAAGTTCACTAACCTCTTTGTAGTAGTTCTCTAAATAGAGATGCCATTTTTAAAAGCTATCTCAATTACTGTATCTTTTGATTGCAATCTAACTTTACAAAATGAACGCAGGTCTGTTTATCATTAGAAAACACATATGGATTTAATTGAGTCAGCTTTAAAATAACTAGGAGCAGATTTATCTCCCTTTAAATTTAACATTCAAAAATGCAATCCTAAATGAGTTTATGGAGAGGAAAGCAAAACAGCAGATTTCCTAGTATGTATTTAGTTGCTTATTTTTCTATTTATTATATTTAAAATAATGTCATTGAAAATTGATAGGCTTTTGCAGGGCTTTTTTTCTCATAGAACGCCCAGAATGGAGTTCCGGCACCTTTTTTGGATGGAACCTTGTAGGGTAGGCAAGGCGGGTTGTATGACGTGTGAGTTCCGGCACCTTTTTTTTTTTTTTTTTAGAAAAAAAGCACTGGGCTTTTGTTCTATCAGTAGTTCCCATATGTATGAAAATTATCTGTGGTTTTTGACGAACAAAGCACCCACATCTTCAGCCAAATGAGAGAATGAGGGATTCTTGGATACAGTAAGTTTCCAGAAACCCATTTTGGAGACTTACCATGATGTGGAATGCCACTTATTTTTTCAATGTCTTTCTTGACTTTTCTTTGGGAGATCAAGATAGCCCATATGGGGTCTCTTTTCATTTTATCTGCACAACAGTCTGTGAGACCTGTTGCATGAGCAAATCATTCAATGCTTCAGTTTGGAGTAAAACCTAAATTTCCCACTCTACAAGTTTAACTTTATTGTAGTAGACCTACTTCTATCCCAATGTTTCTTAATCTTGGCAGCTTTCAGATGTATGAACTTCAACTCCCAGAATTCTCCAGCCAGGAATTCTGCTCTATCTCAGGGGTCCTCAACCTTGGCAACTTTAAGACTTGTGGACTTCAACTCCACAAAGCTGGCTGAGGAATTCTGAGAGTTGAAGTCTTAAAGTTGCTAAGGTTGAGGACCCCTGCTCTATCCAATTCTGAATGTTTTTCAGAAGCACTTTGAAGGGTCAGATTTTATGAAACAGCTTTTCCCAATTTAGAACTTTCCAAATAAGTCTAGCTATGGCTGTCTTGGTAGAGGACAGGAAGGCCAGGAAGGCCTGGAAGAACATTGGCCATGGAGTCACAATGGGTCAGACATGACTTCGCAACAACATGGCTATCTGGGACTGAAGTAAGCTGTAGGCCAATATTCTGAAAGGCTTCAAGGTAGGTGAGACTTAGATAAAGTTCTGTCTTTAGAGCAGTGTTTCTCAACCTCAGTCACTTTAAGATGTATGAACTCCAACTCCCATAATTCCCCAGTCAGCATGAGGAATTCTGGGAGCTGGAGTCCACAGATCTTAAAGTCACTGGGATTAAGAATCACAGTTCTAGAGAATGTTACAATGCCAGGAAAAAAGATAAAGCCATTTTTTGAGAGAAAGAAGAAAGACTATTATTTAATAAAAATTACTCCTGTTTGCTAGGTGAAATATTTTGACATTTATTTATTTATAGCAAAGGAATAACGTTCTGATTTGTAATGCATTTATAATGATATACAAATAGTTCTAAATACAAGAATCTATTTTATTTTGTTCTTTCATCAGTATGAATTAATATTACGAGTAAAAGAGGATAGTTTCTTGCTCTGAGAACTTTATCGTCTAAAATTCAGCACATACAAAACCACAGAAGAAAGGAAGCAGAAGCAGAATAAATGGGGAAGCAACTTGTGTGATTATTTCACTTGCACATACATCAGCTTCGTGCAAGCTGACTCATAGAGAGGCACGAGAACGTATTTCCTATGCCTACAAAGTGCATGTTTTTCTCAACCTCCCTGAGAGGAGAACCAAGCTGGACTGGCTGGAAAAAATGAAACAAGGATAAATAATTTAGAGAGAAAAGTTGAAAAAGGCTAGGGGAAGCTTTAACTATGGCAGGCACAAATAAATTGTGCCTGAAAGTCTTTTGAAGCAGGCAATCATAATAAATCTAATAATAATAATAATACTCATCAAACTCACATGTGTTACTATAGTGTATCTACCTCTTATATGGTGGAATATGGGTGACAAAAAGTGGGATTGCAAAATAAGTCTCTAGATCAGAGATTTCAGGTTTCATAGAAGGAACATGCTTGGGTAAAACTAAATTTTGTGCTTTTGGGCCACAATAGATCAGGAATGATGTGCATATCCTTACTATAAGCAGAGAATTTTACATGTGGCATAGGTATGAACAAAGGCCACCCTGTACTCAACTTCATTGCCCCATGTTGGGATTTACTCCCAATTAACCAGGGCTAGCAAAGCTCACAAAAAATTAATGCTGTCCTGATTTTTTCCCACCATTCTCATGTTGGGCCAGCACAGTGGTAATAGTTAAGACAGAGTTCCCCAACCTTTCTAGGTTGGAGGCCCAGAATGAAAGAGAAGAGCAGGGAAATGTGCGCACACACGTGCATGCGCAAATGGGCCATGGCGGTGCTGGTGGCAGGCTGGCGCCTGTGCACATGCATAAACGGCGCTAGCTCCCATGCATGTGCACAAATAGGCCACTAGTGTCTGTGTGTGCACAAATGAGCCACTAGCGCTCATGCATGTGCACAAATGGGCCGCTAGTGCCCGCACACATGCACAAACAGATCTGCTAGCTCTCGCATGGTGGTACTCGCACAATGGCGCTAGCCAGCCATTCCGGTGGCCCAGTGGCCAACAGCCCATAGCCCAGTACTGGGCTGCGGTCCACAGGTTGGAGATCCCTGGGTTAAGATACTGCATTTGTTAGATGTAAAGCCAGCAGCTCAGGTTCAAGACCTGAGCGCCACATGACAGAGATGAGCTTCCATCCTCGCTTCAGCTCCTGCCAAAGTAACGGTTTGAAAGCATGCAAATGTGAGTATATAAATGGGTACCACATCTGTGGGAAGATAACAGCACTCTGTGATGTCATATTGGCCACAAAACCGCAGAAATGTCTTTGAATTCTTCCAGGCTCAATGGCCTGGAAACAGAGATGAGCATCACCCCCTATAGTTGGCAATGACTAGTGGAGTGCAATCTGCAGGGACTCCTATTCTTATAATATTTTTTAAACGTTCTAAACATAGGAATATAGACTTCTTGATAGTGGTCTCTTCTGATGACCAAGAGGTTGATATTATTATGGGTAGGGCTTCTGAACAATCATTATATAATTTCCAGTTTTAGGAAGAGTGGAAATTCTGAAATGATACTAAGCACTTGTATGCAGTGAGGAAAAAGACTGCTACATGAGCAATGCTATCAGACTATGCTCTGTAGAACTCTGGGATTTTATGACAACTTGGTCAGGTTCCACCAAGGACTGTGGGCATAGCCACTCCTATCCAAGTGGATTCACCATTGTGCTCCATAGTTTTTTCTATAATCCAATGGTAGCACAATTGTTTGCCCGCAACTCTGTTTAAAGAAAGATTAGGTAAAAGATGATGGAAAAGAGTTCTAGTGTATTCTTTATATTCCCAGAATCATTAACTGGTCAGTAAAAACTTTCCACTCTTGTATGAGCTGATAAAACAACAAACAGGAATGTACCAGAAACTGAATCATGTTTTAAGTCTATCCTCATAATTATAATGAAATGAAGATTTTGAAAACCAGGAAATATATATATAATGTGATCTTAAGCATCTCTAGCACATATGCATAATGGACACCACATCTTATTGGGGAATAAACTCCATTAGTGGCCTTCAGTCAAGGGACACAAAAAGGTAACATGGAGTCAGATTATTTGTTCTAGGCATTCTTTCACAATGAGTTCAGCTGTGGGAAGCCAGCCCCCCCTCCAGAGAAGGAATTATTTTGGGTGATTTAAAAAGGCAGAATATTATATTTCCCCAAAGGATCTTAAAGGCAGAAAAGCAGGTCCAGTTTTTCTTAATAGCCCCAAGCAGAAACCAGCTTTTAGAAATGCACTTTTGGTGATTCATTCAGGAAGACTGGGGCCAGGAAGCTTGGAGCTCATCAGATTAGAAAGACAAAACCCCTAAAAATCTACATCCCCCACCCAAATTCTAAAGGCATGAATTTTAGGACATAATAGGATTAGCCCAACACCACTGGAATACCAGAAGAGCACACTCAGGCCTGGGTCAATGTTCATGCCACAGGAACAGGAAAAATTCCAAACACAAAAGCCCAAGAAGGTATAAAAATTCACCACTCCCAGCTCCATTTTGTCAGCCACCCCAGAAACACAAGCTGTGTCGCTGAAATTTCTGGCACCTCAATAAATTGGACCTTCTTTCCTAAAACAGTCTCCATTTTCTTATTCCCACTTTGGACTGGACCTGAAGATTTTTCTTTCAATAATTTAGCACCCAGGATGGGTATCTCCAAGCTAACCTCACCAATGGACTGGGCCTGGGTAAGCCTTCATCTTGCTGGCAGCAGATCCCTTGTGTCTGTGGATGGGTTTGTCAGACCCTGCCCATTTGGAGCAAGGGAAATAAAGGAAGTTTTAAGTTTTTTAGCTCAAAGTCTGCTTGGAAAGAAGATGAGTACCTCCAAATTTTAACTGTAAAAGCCCAGGAGATGAAAGAGCATGTGTGTGTGGATACGTGTGTGTAGGTGGAATCTCTCTCTGCCACAGCTGGATCCTGCCCCCCCTCCTTTCCTAGCTGCAAAAAGGATCTGTTCAACCAACAGACCCTAGAAAGCCAGAACACAGGATCTTTTGAGAAAGAGAGGAGAAAGTACGTGGGAAGTGAATGCAAAGGAAAGAAAGGGTTTCACTCCTGGGCAACTAGCTAAGAATCACTGAGCAGAGCCCTATTCCAGAAAAAGGTCCCTGTACTCTGATTAATTTCTGTGGACAGAGTCCTCACAGGCCAT